CACAAATACAATTAAATTGAGGCATTCGTTTAAAAAAAAAGAAAACAAACAATTTTATATAAAACTTGGTTTTCGCAAGAAAAAGAAGAAAAAAAAAAAAAAAAAAACAAAAGAAAAGAAAATTCGGCAGGCAGCTGCATTACAACAATTATACCTATTGTTTTTATAAAAACAAACCTAATTTTAAATTCTACATTTTTCTTTTGTTTTCCTTTTTTTATTTTTTTGTCTTTTAAGGGGAGGGAAAGGAGAAGACTCTTGAGTAGTATTCCAATTTATAAATAAAATTTAAAATAAATTAAAAATTTACTGTTAAAATATATAAATAAATTAATAAAAATCTAAGCCATTCTTTAGAAAAAATACAAAAACAAAACAAACTTATCAAAACAAAAAAGAAAAATTGACAAGATCAAGGCAACAACAAATCTGCAAACAAAAAAAAAATACCGTTATTCTCTCAAAAATGCAAAAAGAAGAAGAAGCAAAAAAAAAATGTCGGAAAAGCTTCAATAATTCAAATTAGAGTAGTAGTGGCTATTTTTTCACAAAAAAAACTTAAAAAAGTGAAGTGTTTTAATTAAAATATAATAACAAATTGCAAAATAGTAGTTTATTAATAAAAAATATCATAAAAAGCGAAACATATTTTTGTAATTAAATAAAAGTAACTAGATTAGAGTTTTAACAAATAATTTTTTTTCTAAATCAATTTTTTTGCTTTGATTTGTTTGCATCTCATTAATTTCATTTTCGTTTTTTAGTTTTTATTTAAATAACAAACAAATACTATTTTAATAAATTATCAATGAAAATAATAAATAAACAAAAAAATTGTGTTTTGTAATTTCATTAGTTTATTTTTGAAGTGATTGCATGTTTGTGTGTGTTTAAGTAGACTCTGCTCGTGTGTGATTGACCTTGACTTCCATTTTTTTGTGTTGAATCGTTGTATCTTAGCAACTTGTGTGTTGCAATTTGATCAATATGTACGAGAGAACAGCAATCAGCTATTGAGGTGGTGCTGTTGGTGGCGAAACAGAAAATTTGCATAGTTTAACCCATTCCGAGGTAAGTTTGTGATTTTCCTAAGTTTCTTTGCTTTTTGCTGAACACAAGTATTTTGCCGGCATTTTCGGTTTTATAGCATGCTCAAGGGGGTTGTTTGAACATTTATTTATTGTGTTAGGTCATAAAATGTTGCATTATTTTATAGCAAAGTTTTTCGTTGAAATTTTTGGGCTATAAATTGATGCCTTTTGGGAATATAAATCCCAGAGATTTCTGTTTGTTTACGTTTGTAACAATATTAGTCGTATGGAGCAAAATGTAACCAGATGTACTTACTATGATCGTAATCACAGATATAACACCTTGACAACAAATTTGCAGTTTTTAAATTGTTTAATACCTACCTATTCACTTTTTGACCCTTTTAACTCATTCCAACTTATGTAGATAGTATTTCTATTATTATGGCTTTTATTTACAAAATCGATTATTTGGTTTTTTTCGTACAGGACAATCGATTTTTTCACTAAATTATGAATTACATAAAAAACGATGAACTACCTATAAAGTTTTCTATAGATATACAACTGATCGATGATTAAGTTTTCTATGGAAAATGAATCGATCATAAAGTTTTCTATATAAAACTGACCGATAAAAAAGTTTTTAATATAAAACTGATCGATGATGACTTTTGTTATATGTATAAAACTGATCGATGGCGGAATTTTCTGTAAGAAACTGGTCGATGGTGAAGTTTCTTATATGAAACTGATCAATGATAAAGTTTCGATAATGGCATTTTACCGATTATAGGTATTTCTGCTAAAACTTTAATATTGAAAATAATTTTTATGTGAGAAACATATTTTTATGTTTTTTTTAGTAAAATATTTTCGGATTTTGGTAAAAAAAAAATCATCGCTCATGTCTCATATAAGACTTCTTACGAAATCTAAAACTGAACACACATAAACTTGAAAAATTTTAAATATGTAATACAATTTCATTAAAAATACTTTTTATTTAATAAAATTTATTATGTTAAACAACTTCATTAACTCTTAAAAAAAACTTAATTCTTTTTTCTTTTAGCAAAAGTTGTAGGTACTGCTGGTACACTTTTAGGCAATCTCAAGCTCAAAATAGAGGTTCTAGACTTAGGTAAAGCTTGAACAATATGAGCATATTTATTAACTTTAAAACGAGGAGCATTCAATTCTTGAGATAAAACAGCACTATCTATGCTATAGTTATCACTGACCAATAAGGATAAAACTATAAAGTAACATAAAGCTTTTTCGGTAGAGAAAGATGTGCGGCAACCACTATAAAAATTAAAAAAAGGTATTTGCTTTATAAGGTACAATTTTCATATAAAATTATTAAACTCACGTAAAACTAGAATTGGGATCGGAAAAACGATCACGCACATTGTTTTCCACTTTTTCGGAAATATCTGATAAGTTGGCCTTTTTCAAAGATTTGACACGTGATTTAATGAGTTTCAACAAAGAGTCCATATAAATAATTAATTTTAAACGCTGTAAACCTTCATTATTAGCAGGTGACTGTTGTATGGTTTCTATAAGTTTCTTTAAAAATTCAGATTGTATTCTAGAAAGGATAAAAATAAAATTTGTATAAATAATGTTATATGTAAATATGAAATTTCTTTAAAACTTACGGTATTTGATCAATTTGAGTTTGATAAATTGTCTTAGCTTCTTCATCTAAACGATTCAATAGTTCCATGGGCACCACGTCACCTATTGCGTAAACATCGCTTATTTGTTTTGCTTCTACATTCATAGGTGGTCTTATTTTATCAAAATAGGCTGTGTTATCCACATTTTCTTCTGCCTCGTTTTCTTCAATACCGGCTTCATCAACAGTGTTCTGCAATTCTTCTTGTACTATTTTTATATCCATGTGCATTTTCTCCTTATCATTAATATAACGTGAGGCCTTACGACCACCAAATTTCTTTAGCAATGTCATTTTGCTAACATGATCTGAGAGAGCTTCACGTTGAGTTTGATCAATATCCTGATAAATGCTATTCTTTAGGGTTACCTGATCGATGGGGATAATTGTCATCTGAGGGGGTAATGTAAAAAAGGACATTTTTTAATAAATAATGTTCTTTATCTATACAATTAAAGTGTGGAAGGTATGGACTTTAATCTGAAATACTGCTCTGCAGTCTGAACTTAATCTATTTGTCTGGAGACTAGACTCTAGTCTATCATCTGGACAGGAATATAGTCTTATCTATGCCTAGTTCATACATTAGACTAGGGAATAGTCTAAATTATTGTCTATAGTGTGGACTATAGTTTAGTCTAAAGCCTGGAATATATCAAGTCTATAGTCTGGCCTATAGTCAAGACTATATTCTGGACTGTTTTGACTATAGTCTGGGTTATAATCTTTTCTATAGTCAGGACTATAGTATGGGTTATATTCTAGTCTATAGTCTAGACTATAGTATAATCCAGTCTATAAATTGGGCAATAGTATAGTCTAGCCCATATGCTTGACTATACCCCTGTAGTCTGGACTATAGTATAGTCTTTAGTCTGAACTAAAGTCTTCATTGTATTCTAGTCCATTATCTGGACTATCATCTAGTCTATAGACTAAACCAGAGTATAGACTATAGTTAAAAAGAAAATCTAGTCTGGAAAACATTCGAAACTATTGTGCATAGTCTAGAGTCATGAGAATATTCCATAAATCAGAGAGTAGCTTTTCCAACGCCAACCATGTCACCAACTTCCAGTTCTTCTCACCTTGTTTGTCACTTTGTTACGAACACAAATGTACGTATCCGTCAATTCACTAGCCTCGCTATCATTTATCAAACCCTGATAGGTATGACCATTGGCCACCAGTAAAGCACCCATTATATTTTTATCCTGACGACTTCTCAAACGACAAAAATGTGTATTTTCTTTCGTAAAAGCACTTAGTTTGCCATTTTGGAATTTCACTATGAATTTAAAAAGAATAAAAACAAATTAATTTCATATTTTCAAAAAACGATTTCAACTTTGCAGACTCACTCAACGTGGGCACAACTCCATTCTTTTTACGGTTGTACACCTTATCAATTTCTACCTTTTCTTTCATTTTGTTTTTAAATAATTAAGTTTATATTAGTATTTTTTAATTTTTTTGTTAAAATTCAGTTTTAATTAAAAAAAAAAAGTCACCACGTGAAGTAAAAAAAAATATGAATAACAAAATCAAAACAGCAGAGTAGAAATGTCAAAAATAAACAGGGTTGTATCAAAGAGTATCGTGTTAGTGTTGTGTTTACAGTTATCGATAATTGATTATGCTTGTTTATGTCTGATAGGGATGGCTAAAAATTAAAACCGTTGAAAATAACTGAAATAACAGAAATTCATCAAGAAAAAGTTAACGTTTTATTTTTTCTTTTCACGAGACAAATTCCCCACATTTTATGTAAAAAAGACAATAATAAAATATAGTAAATAACTAGTAAAATTATCTATTTATTCAAATTAAATATTTATTATAATATCAACCAAATCGTATGGCTCCCGTATCCATCATATTCATATTCATTGATGAGAATTGATAATGTTTAGTTTTTATAATATTGACCACTTGCTGTAATTGGTAAAAAAAAAAATTATAAGAATAATAATTTATTTTCAATAAAAAATCTACTTGCCAAAACTAATTTTATTAAATATACTGCAAATGTTAAAAAATTAATACTTATTAATGCTGCATTTGGTGGAAAATTTATATTAGATTCATCTAAAATACCACGTTTACTACGTAAATGACTGTTACGATTCTTTTCGTGCATATTTCGAGAATTTACATTTTCAGGTAGTTCTACATTGTCACCATCATCCTCATCATCGTGGTCGTCTTGCCATAGAATCATAAATTGTTGTTCTGAAAAAATTCGAAAAATTTTAATAAAATATTTATGTACGTTTGCAACAAAATAATATTTTTGATATAAGTTCCGCAAGTACGATTGTTATATTCGGTTAAGTCGGATCTTATATATCAATCATTAAAAACATGTGAATTTTAAAAAAGTAGAGCAATTTAAAAAATGTGAAAGTTTTTAGTGGATTAAAAATTTTAAATTGGCGAATTATACTACCATTTTCTTTGCAACATTGCGTTACATGCTCTTACCTATAGTTTTCAATAAAGAATCCTTTAACTGATGCAGCATTTTAATTTTATCATCAATTCGAAAAAGTGAATTTTTCATCCAAGTATGTTTTAAAGACTTGATAAATTCTATAAAACCTTTTATGGAAGGAAATTCAACAGTATTTCCTGAAGGCCTTTTATCCTTTACAAACTCTTTTATATTCTCAGCATCATTATTCTCCAAGTCGGACAGCTGAACAGAATCATCTTCATCTTGATGAGAACTTTCTTGCCTAGAAGTTGTTTCCATTTTACTATGGACATTGTTTTCGGCTGCTACCACTAACTCCTTTGGTTTGTTAATACTTTTTAAAGTCTCCCGATAGGTTGGCGTTAACGTATCTATATTCTGAAATCTTTCCTGCTGATATTTAATCCATTCTGGACTGGGTGTATCATCAATCGCGCTATCAACAGGTTGATTTTTAGTTGATTGTGTTAAAATGTTTGAGAACTTTAAGGAAAATAGTAACAACACTATTTTAAGCTGCATTTCACTTGAGATATTATTCAACAACTAAATCTTGAAATTTATTTTCTAAGACTTAGCAGTATTTATTTTGGTGCCAATGTTTTAAAACTAAAGATTTATTAAAAAAACTTTGCTTGAAGATGACACTTTATTAATGACAAACAATTTACACGCTATTTGATTTTTAGTTTTTAAGAAGTGTGTTAGTGCAATGCACAAGTGTGTCAGTAGCTAATTTTAATTAAAAGAATTTTAAATTTAGCTTAATGTATAACGTTTAAAAGTGAGAAGATTGTGTGTCATATTAAAATGTCTCTATCTAGAATTTTAGATTTGTTTTGTCTATAGTCTAGTCTATATATAGTCTAATCTAAGTATAGTCTAAATATAGTCTAATCTAAGTATAGTCTAAATTTAGTCTAATCTATGTATAGTCTAGTCTATAGTCTAGTCTATAGTCTAGTCTATAGTCTAGTCTATAGTCTAGTCTATAGTCTAGTCTATAGTCTAGTCTATAGTCTAGTCTATAGTCTAGTCTATAGTCTAAGTCTAGTCTATAGTCTAGTCTATAGTCTAGTCTATAGTCTAGTCTATAGTCTAGTCTATAGTCTAGTCTATAGTCTAGTCTATAGTCTAGTCTATAGTCTAGTCTATAGTCTAGTCTATAGTCTAGTCTATAGTCTAGTCTATAGTCTAGTCTATAGTCTAGTCTATAGTCTAGTCTATAGTCTAGTCTATAGTCTAGTCTATAGTCTAGTCTATAGTCTAGTCTATAGTCTAGTCTATAGTCTAGTCTATAGTCTAGTCTATAGTCTAGTCTATAGTCTAGTCTATAGTCTAGTCTATAGTCTAGTCTATAGTCTAGTCTATAGTCTAGTCTATAGTCTAGTCTATAGTCTAGTCTATAGTCTAGTCTATAGTCTAGTCTATAGTCTAGTCTATAGTCTAGTCTATAGTCTAGTCTATAGTCTAGTCTATAGTCTAGTCTTAGTCTAGTCTATAGTCTAGTCTATAGTCTAGTCTATAGTCTAGTCTAGTCTAGTCTATAGTCTAGTCTATAGTCTAGTCTATAGTCTAGTCTATAGTCTAGTCTATAGTCTAGTCTATAGTCTAGTCTATAGTCTAGTCTATAGTCTAGTCTATAGTCTAGTCTATAGTCTAGTCTATAGTCTAGTCTATAGTCTAGTCTATAGTCTAGTCTATAGTCTAGTCTATAGTCTAGTCTATAGTCTAGTCTATAGTCTAGTCTATAGTCTAGTCTATAGTCTAGTCTATAGTCTAGTCTATAGTCTAGTCTATAGTCTAGTCTATAGTCTAGTCTAGTCTATAGTCTAGGTCTATAGTCTAGTCTATAGTCTAGTCTAGTCTATAGTCTAGTCTATAGTCTAGTCTATAGTTCTAGTCTATAGTCTAGTCTATAGTCTGTCTATAGTCATAGTCTATAGTCTAGTCTAGTCTAGTCTAGTCTATAGTCTAGTCTAGTCTGATAGTCTAGTCTATAGTATAGTCTAGTCTAGTCTAGTCTATAGTCTAGCCTATAGTCTAGTTTAGTACTTGAAAACTAAAAAGTACTCTCTTTATTATAGGTTATTTCAAAATTTAAATTTGCCAAATCTGCTTTCTACTATAATCTCTTTATATAATGAACATAATGTTATAGATTTTATAATTCCCCTTATTTATGCCTGGAACATGTCAAAACGATTCTCTTATTCTTGGAATTAGTTTAAATCATAATAATTTTGTCTTAAAAACGGTGATTTAGAAAATATTAAAATTTTCCTATAATTTAATATTAAAATGGGGAAATACCAGAGGATTTTGATTGCCTAATACTTTGATCACTTTATAGTTGTTCTAACTAATTTTACAGACAGAGAGGGCTTTCAAACAAAAATCCACTATGGTATTAAATGTAAAATCCCTAGACTTGTACTTTTTCTAAGAGAAAATCTTTAAAATGTTTTACATCCATGTCTAAAAGTGATAATAATTTGTGATCAGTTCTCAGCTTTTGGATAACCTTATTTAAGAGAATAGTTAGTTCTCTTCTCAAACTTTTAGACATCGTTATATTCAGAATATTGAAACTACAGTTAATAATGTTTACTGTGTGTTAATCAAAGATTAATGAATTCTCTTTCGACTTATTGGATATCTCCCCAACCAAAATAGATGTATATAAGCCGAGATGGCACTCAAAGCAAGGGGCTCTTACTATTAGACAAACTGAGCAGAGATAGATGTGTTCGATCGCATACCTGAGACAGAAATTGTTGGGATTTGTGAGAATTTGATCCCACTTAGGAGAACATTAGTAAGATGAAGTGGCTGAAATCTCTATAAATTTTTTGATGATTTTTGGTTGACTTTTCGTGTTTCTTTGTTTATGGGATAATTTCTCCTACGTCTACATTGAGAAAATTTGGTGTTCGATCGTTAAAGCATAAACTTTAAATGACCAACGAAATGAGGTTTATTTCCTATTGTAAATTTACTAAAAATAACAAAAATATCCTACTCATAATCTTTTAATCTATAATAATTTTAGGGTATCATTTAAATTCATCTTAACCGAATGAAAAATTTACAAGCTCCGAAGCATATTAAAACAGAGACTCAAATTCTCTCCTGGATTTCTTAAAAATATATAAAATTAAACTGATGATAAAAAAGAATTTGCTTGAAAGCATTTCATTTTAGTTTTAATTTTAATCTCCTCAGAGTAACAACGTTTCTTGCTATTAAAAATTTAAAATAAATTAAAAAGAAATTATGGGGCAATTATTTAAAATCGTTTGCATTTTAGCAGTATTATTTGTGAATGATTCTTTGTCTCAAAGCAGTGAGTGTGTTTAAATCAAAAATACAAAAAAATACGACAACAATTAAATTAAACCTTAACAAATAATTATAAAGAATACAAAAAAATACGACAACAACACGATCAGTTTCTTATCACAGCAACGGACATTATTGACCCACTGACACTGGGGGTTTAAAAACTTTAGAAAAATTAAAGATTACAAAAAAATGAAAATAAAAAAATAATGTAAACATGATTTGTCCATAAAAAATTTTCACATTATCTAGTAGAAAGGTTGTAAAAGAAAAGCGTTATTGTGTTGCAGTTTTAGTTTGCATTGATCTTGATTTGTTTTTCAATTGCAAAGGAAAGTTATATTGCGTGCAGTGAGAAGATAAAAGAAACCAAGACATTGAATTTTATTTAAAATATATTTAATTAGAAAGTTTTCAAAAAATTTGTTTTTTATATATGTAGATATTAAATTACAAAATTTAAATAATTGTTGGTACCTTTGGATCCATAATAACTGATATGGGATATGTGAAAGTTAAAGGCTTTGGGTGAATTCTATTCTTAATTCCAAATTACCTTTGATTGTGTTCTCTAAAGTGATTGAGCAGAGGCAGGAAGAAGATAGAAATGTCTTTAAATAATCCAATTATCAATGATAGAAATTCCCCCCGGCCCTCACCCTAAGATTCGGAATGGATCTTGTGCCATTTTTTTATAACAGTTTAAATATATTCTATGATTTGTATTGTGTAAAATAACAAAAACTTTTTAACACAACTTTTGCTTAAAGATACCAACTTAAGTACCTTTATTCTTTGGATCCATGATATAATTATTTGCATTCCACGATTAACCTTCTGTTCCCTGATTAAAATCTAAATTTTTGGTCGACATTCCAAATATCTTTAAAGAAGTTAATAGATATGATTTTATATTAAAAATCTTCATCATTTAATCCACAGTCATTCAATGATTAAATATTGATTTTAATGCAATAAGGGAATGAGAACTTCGGGTTCGAATTATGCCGAAAAATTAATCTTAAATATCATTCACCTATAAGCCTGGACTATAATTACACCGAACTGAATTCTGTGTCTTGTGTAGATTTTCGGAAGTGGAGCTTATAGAAGAGTTATGACTAATTATGGGCCAATCCGGGAAAAAATAACAGAATCGTTTTTATATACATATAAAATTTATTGCTCGTTTATTAGTTACGAGGTATTTGCGATTAACAGATTTTCTGGCCCTTATATGAGAGCTATGACCAATTATATGTAGATCAGAAAAAAATTTTCTCTTCAACACATTCCTCTTAAATTTTGACCCGATACGGTTATTTGTTAATGAATTATGTGCGTTTAACTTCGGAACTTTACAAAACGTATTCAAGTTGATGCCCATATCGTGCTCTTTATATGGGAGCTATAAACAATTATAGGCCGTTTTGGAAAAGGGATTTACAATAATTTCTTTTATCCCGATATCCTTATTAGTTCGTGAATTTCGGAAAAAATCAATGAATAATTTGTTTATGTGCAAAATTTTGTTGCCTTTAAATCATTTTCGTAGGTAGATCTTAAATGGGAGCTTTGACCAATTATAGGCCGATACCAAAAATATTTAGCTAATAAATTTGTATATGAATAAATCATATTATTCTTGAATTTTGGCCGATACAGTTAGTTGTTAATGAATTAAAATGGTTTAAATGATTTTGGATCGGGGATGTGTACCTTATATGGGAGCTATGGTCAATTATAAACCGTTTCAGGTTTCAGTTTGCAATACGATTTATGTATATTCTATTTTCAATCGGATTAATCTACCTTCAAAATTTCTTAAATAATTTACTTTAGGTTCTGAAGAAAATAAATTTTAACAAAGGTATTTATGGACCGATCATGCTGATTTTAAATTGAAAGCATGTGCGATAGAATTATTGAAAATTTGGATGTCTCTGATATCTGGGGCTTTCAGAAAATTGATTTTAACATACATACGAACAGAATGAAAGATATTAATAGATTCCGCTATCTATAAGGATTCAGAATACATGCATATGTATGTATACTTTTTGGGATCGAGAATTATATTGTGTGAATTACAAACGGAATGACAAACATAGTTATACCCTTCTGACGAAAATAAGAAGTATAAAAATGGTTCTAATAAAACACTTATTTTTACATTTTGGTTCCATAGAGTTCTTAAATTTTTTCATATAGAAGTGATATCACTTCAATGCAAACGTGATATGTTAAAAAATACCTGTTCCTTTGTTACGCAGTTCTTAATGGTTTACAAATTCTTAAATGCGTTTTTAAACAAATTTTATCCTCCTGAAATGTTGTCTATCTTATATTTATTATAAACACTTAATAATTAGTAACGTATGTTATTAACTGTTTATAAATCTGAGTTGTAGAACTTATCGTACTTATTTAAAAGTAATCTTTTCGAAATGTATTTTTGGAAAATCTAAATTATCTTGCTTATTGAAAAGTTTTGGTATCGTTACTTTTTGCGTTCGTTGTATTAACGAAAGAGGGACAGATATATCTAAATATGGAAGGCTTTGAGAATGAATCAGTCACAGTTGCTTCTCATGAGAGGTTTAAAGTAAAATTGAAATTTCTAGGGTTTTCTTAAAGATTTAATAACAAAATAAAAAAAATCGGTGCAATTTTAAACTTTTTTGTAAATTAACTAGATAATGCGGAATTTGCAGCAATTAAACTAAAAACGATCGAAATAATAACACAGATTGTAACTATTCCGTTCGCAATGTGTGATGGATCTGTTTGTTTCAAAATTTTCTATTAAATTTGTTTGAAATGAATTGAAAAATTTCCTCCTCTAAAGGGGTTATGTTAAAATTAATTGAAAAATTTCAACTTACCAGCTCTGTTTCTAAAACACACCTGTTGTAATTTAGACATCATCTTTATCACTGCAATTTTTATTGTTGTTGTCATATTCCAGTTATATTTAAAAAGTTCAATCACGTTTGCTCGTGTTAAGCTTAAAATATTTATATAACACTCCCCTCTACTGGAGAATTGGTTGAAGTAGCGACTTCTGCTTTTTATTATAAATCTTGTTTAGTAGGTATATGCGTTGTTTTTATGACAGTTTCTTGTTAAGAACGCAATTTTTTTTTGACATGCTTCAGACATTTTTTTATAAAAACTTATTGGGTAGAGAGACCAAAGTATACTTTTCTAAAGGTTTAAGCAGCCTTGAAATCGTTTCTGGTTTTAGAATTTTTCTCTTACATCAAGATATCGTGTCCTTAAAATGAAAAAAAAAACGCTTTTTGGGACATTGTAACAGCGCGAAAACATCTTTAAATAAAGACTTAATCTCTATTTCATACTGGTTCTTTAAATTCGAATGACATTTTACGAAGACAAATCGGATAAATTCACTATATACCTTCCGACAGTAGAATGACTTAAAGTATTTTATTAAAGGACGTCTATTAAACGATCAATATTTTTTCAAAAATAGTTGCATTTCCCGATGGTAGTTGTGGCACTCCCGATGGTTATCAGGGTACATGCATAGATATTTTACAATGTCCTCCACTGCTGCAGTCGTTAAAGAATGTTCAAAGATCTCAACTGGAAACACGTTATCTACAACAGAGTCAATGTGGTAAAAGGGGCAATACCGTACTGGTTTGTTGTCGTTACGATGGTGTTAGTCGCTTTAATAATCCAACACCTTCTATGCCTAGAGATAACTCGAATTTATTGCCCAATATACGACAATGTGGTCGTTCTTTTGACAATCGTATTTATGGTGGTAGTGCTACCAAAATCGATGAATATCCTTGGACTGCTCTAATCGAATATTCAAAACGTAAGTGTTTGTTTGAAAATGTGTAATAAAAAGCTATATTTTCGTTGTGTTAAACTTTAGCCCGCAACGAAAAGGGTCATCATTGTGGAGCCGCTTTGATTAATAATCGTTATGTGATAACTGCTGCTCATTGTGTTACTGGTCGTGGTATACCCGCTGACTGGCAGGCTACCGGTGTACGTTTGGGAGAATGGGATCGTTCCAGTAATCCCGATTGTGAAATATCTGTAACGGGTAAAAGAGATTGTGCCGAACCTCATTTGGATGTTGGCATTGAAGAAATCATTTATCATCCCAACTATAATGCTCAGGCCTCAAATAATTTACATGATATTGCTCTAATACGTCTGGATCGTTATGTTAATTTCAATGATTTCGTTAGCCCCGTCTGCTTGCCCACACAATCTCATTTGCGTACAAAAACATTTGAAAACATTAAAATGGATGTCACCGGCTGGGGCACAACAGAACAGGGTGGCACTAGTGCTTTGAAATTAAAGGCTGGTGTAGATGGTTGGACTTTTGATAGCTGTCGTCAAAAATATGCCACCAAGAGAATCTATTTGCAAGACACTCAAATGTGTGCGGGAGGTGAAGAGGGTGTTGACTCCTGTGGTGGTGATTCTGGCGGTCCATTGGTGGTTAAGGAGAGAGTGGATAATCGTGATGTCTATATGTTGTCTGGTGTTGTATCGTTTGGTCCAAAACCTTGTGGCTTGCCTGGTTGGCCCGGAGTTTATACCCGGGTTGGTGCTTATATCGATTGGATTACACGTACTATTAGAGCTTAAAAAAATCGTGTGTTCTTTGTGTGTATGTGTTTTTTAATTTTATATCTTGCCATTATTTTTAATGCTTACTTAAATATATCATAAATAGTTAACAAAAATATTTTTGCAATATACAAAACAAACCATTATTTTAAAACTCTGATGTTTGTGATGATAATGATGATGTAATAATTTATATTTAACCAAATAAAATGTATATTTATGACATTTTCCATCATTTATGTCATTTGACATTTGTTAGATTTTATGGAAAATATGAGAGATCACATATTTTAGCTATTTTCACATTTGAAGTATTATTTAATGCTCTAATGCCGATTTTAGATTTTTAGGCTATTTTCTCAATTGGATCGTTATTTGAGGCCGATTTTAGATTTGATCACCGATTTTTATAGTTTTCTTGTTTCAGCCAAAGCATGGTCCGAACTGTTTTTATACCCTACACCACTATATATAGTGGGGAGGGTACAATGCGTTTATGCTGATGTTTGTAACACCCAAAAATATTGGTCTTAACCGCTCGAATTTCCCTCCGGGGCATGTTTCCTTAATGGAAGACTTATTCTTATTGTAATGCCGGGGGAAAGAAGTGCTACTAGTACCTCTAGTGTACCGGGACTATAAACTGCTGATAATCAAATATATCCTTGGGTCTTGGGGTCGAACCAGAGAACTACATAACTGGTACCACGAGAACCGGTAACCCCCAGGGCACAGTTTCGGACTTTGTCTTGTTGCGGTTATTGGAAAGGTCCCTTCGAGGTACACGTGTTGGCCGTAGTATAAATCCAAATTTGGCAAGATAATGTCGGTTAAAAGACTGATGCATGGTAAAGTCTTTAATTCGGGATTAGTTCGATTATAGGGGTATACGGACCTACCCACCCGTATACCCAGAGTGAGTGTGTCGGACGTTGTTCTCTATGAGTGTGTCGAATGAATGAATGTGTGCTGCGTTAAATGATGATGGATGAAGAAAGGTTTTGTACAAGCGATACTATTGAATGTTCCTTCTTTGTCCAAGTATGTTAAGGGTTTACTCTGTTCATACCAGATTTATAACAGTGTGTTTTCTGTGAGTAGCAAGAAGTCCTGGTCTAATTTGATTTGATGCTGTTGCCGATTCAACAGAGACCATCCCATCTGTGTTTTTCATATCGGAATGGTCAGAGATTAGATGGCTCGAGTACCTGAGCAAAGTGCTTATTAAAGGATCGGCAGAACAATGTTAAAAATTTGCCATCGGATTATAAGAAGCAGAATGGAGCCAGTAAAGCACTTCGTCATCTTGTCTAACCTTAATATACTTAAATTGAAACAAAATATCTTACTACAATAATTGTTGTATATTCAAAATCAAATTATAAATACTAAGATCTTATATTTTCTAAAATCCAATCCATATAAGGTCCCACCTTTGTAAAAAGCCCTGGCCAACCATCTAAGCCACAGGGTTTTTGAATAAACGATGTTACACCAGATAAAACGTAAACATAACGATTATCTAATTTATCTTTCACAACCAATGATCCACCAGAATCACCATCACAAATACCGACACCTTTTTCACCCCCGGCACACATTTGTTTCAAGCGCAAATATATTCCTTTGGCGGCATACGTTCGACGACATCTCGAAAAGCTCCAACCAGGTAAATTAGCTACCTGTTTTATATTAACTTCATCACTGGTTTTTGAATTATCCCAACCAACGACTTGCATTATAATATTTTTAAATATTCTAACACGCATTTTGGACTGAATGGGCAGACATACGGGACTGATGTAATCGGTGAATTTGATATAGCGATCAAGTCGTATTAAAGCGATATCATTACGATATTTAGCCGCACTATAATTAGAATGAACAATGATTTCTTCTATGCCGACATTTAAATAGGGATCGGCACACTTTTTTTTACCCGTTAGCGTCATCATACAGTCGGGATTAGTGGAGAGATCCCATTCGCCTAAACGTATGCCAGAGATACGCCAATCTGCATGAACTGCAACACATTGAGCAGCAGTTAGCACATAGCGGTTATTAATCAAGGTGGCTCCACAGTGATGACTGGTTTTGTGGTTGCCTAACGTTTAATATAAAATTATATTACTCTTTTTGTAATGTCTTCTTAATTGTATCCTTACCATTTGTGTATTCTATTAAAGCCGCCCAAGGAAATTCCACATTTATATCATTTCCGTAATTGTCTGGAGTAACCCCACATTCATGTGTATTGGGCAATAAATATATGTTGTCCGATTTTTGCAGAGAAATTGTCGTATTATAATGAATTTCATAATTGAAAGGACAGCAAATTAATATAGAATTATCGCTTTCTCTACATTGATTTTGAGTTTCTATCTGCGATTGCGTGGAACATTGTAGAGTATCTGTACATATGCCGGGCAAATCATTCAAAGTAGTGCATGAATTTGTGTTACGAGAACTGCTATTGGGAAGTGTTGCTATAGTTTAAAGGAATAAAAATAAGATATAGTTAAGGAATCATTTTGCTAATTATTTCTTCACGATACTATTTTGATACCAACTATAAATCTAGGACTAAATTAGTTGAAGCCGATTTAGTCCTACCCTTTGTAAAATACTAAAATATTGATCGCATACCCACAAAAGTTGAACCTCAAAATTCAGTCCAGTCTATGGAGGAACAATAAATAGTATCAATTAATAACACCGTGTAACGTTGATAAAGTCGCGCAACCGCACTATTGAGATGGCTTTGTTGTTTCGGCAGCAGCACCTAGGGACGTAATAGGTGGACCGGAGTTCGGCTCCATATTTAATTGAAAATTGACCTACTGTATTAAGTTAACACACTCAACCATGCAGGAATATGGTCGACAAATTAAAGATTAAGTTATACCCAGCTCTACCAACCACCAATTCCAGCTTACAACGCAATTACAACACATAAACATCCTTATCCATCGGCATATGTATCGGTATATGTATCCGATGGGACATCAACTCATATCCAATCTTTGCATTATCAGCTCAAATTCAACGTTTTATTATAAATAGCTTTATTCCTAGTTTCTAGGAACGGTACAAAGTTCCTAGAAACTAGGAATCATATCCCGAATAATATTAAATATAACGATCATTAAGATCGGTCCATAGTTAACACTCTTCACACCTTTTGTTTGTGGGAATATACATACATAGTATGTGTCAGCCCAGGCCGACGGATATTGGTACGGAATAAACCTTTTAAGACTTACTGTTGTGAGGCAAAACATTATTCACAAATAAGGAGGAAATGCAAAAAATTATTAATAATTGATTCATATTTGTTAATGTTCGTTCCTTTTAATAAAATTGTGATGTTGTTAATCACATAAGATTTAAATGAAGACTAACATTGCATTTAATTTCTTTTTAAGAAAATACGAAAATATAATGATGTTGGATACATGTTTTTACACACACTACATAGATTGCATGAGTAATTATTTGCTTGTATTAATGTTTGGCGTGTTTATGCTTAACACCATAATGAGTTACAGCAACGCATAGAAGAAACCTCCTCCAAGAACTTCCGGAATTTCAGAACTCATTTTCTGGTATAAGTTAGGAGATTTAACCTGTGTTAAAAGTGTACATTAGAGTAAAAATAATTAAATTTTTAAATCATATGGGGCCAGCCTAATGTACATACATATGAATATCGAAATTTTCCATAAACCGAAAACTTTAAATTTTTATTACTTTTTCAAAAATATTTAAAATTTTTAATTATGAATCTGTTAGTAAATGGTTTGATATTTTCTAAATTGCACAAAAAAGTAAAATGCTTCTATTATTGTAACAGATGTAGGACATGTATGGTCGAATTTCTTAAACATTCATCAAGTCTAACATACATATAATTTTAATTGTTTAGTCATGAATTTATTATGAATTCTACGGTAAATGATTTTGTTTGTTACAAATATTTATTATGTTAATGGTATATCGTACATAAACATAATGAAAAGAAAGAGAACATCTATCCTCTGCATTCGATTTAAATATGTTCTAAAAGTTCTAACAAGACAGAACAAATAAACACCCTTCTAACTTTCGCACTAGACTATAGACTAGACTATAGACTAGACTATAGACTAGACTATAGACTAGACTATAGACTAGACTATAGACTAGACTATAGACTAGACTATAGACTAGACTATAGACTAGACTATAGACTAGACTATAGACTAGACTATAGACTAGACTATAGACTAGACTATAGACTAGACTATAGACTAGACTATAGACTAGACTATAGACTAGACTATAGACTAGACTATAGACTAGACTATAGACTAGACTATAGACTAGACTATAGACTAGACTATAGACTAGACTATAGACTAGACTATAGACTAGACTATAGACTAGACTATAGACTAGACTATAGACTAGACTATAGACTAGACTATAGACTAGACTATAGACTAGACTATAGACTAGACTATAGACTAGACTATAGACTAGACTATAGACTAGACTATAGACTAGACTATAGACTAGACTATAGACTAGACTATAGACTAGGCTATAGACTAGACTATAGACTAGATATAGACTAGACTAGACTAGATAGACTAGACTATAGACTAGACTATAGACTAGACTATAGACTAGACTATAGACTAGACTATAGACTAGACTATAGACTAGACTATAGACTAGACTATAGACTAGATCTATAGTCTAGTCCTATAGTCTAGTCTATAGTCTAGTCTATAGTCTAGTCTATAGTCTAGTCTATAGTCTAGTCTATAGTCTAGTCTATAGTCTAGTCTATAGTCTAGACTATAGACTAGACTACTAGACTATAGACTAGACTATAGACTAGACTATAGACTAGACTATAGACTAGACTATAGACTAGACTATAGACTAGACTATAGACTAGATGCGAAAAAGAAGTAGAATTTACTCCATGGAAGTACTGAAAAAGACCTGAAGAAGTGTTGATTTCAACACAGGCTTGTCATAGGAGGGATGTCCTTTTATCTGATTCCAAATTCACTACTTCTGAAGTCATTCTCATGAAGTAAATGATAGAATACAGCTAATTTGACTTAAATACATAATTTTAACATTAATTAGGGTAATAGAGACTTAATACGAAACATTTTTTTATCTCATAAAAATCTAAGAACAAAAAATATATCTTCAACATTGAAAAAAATATAATTATTTTTGCTTCTTCGGAAGTCTTAAACATCACTTTCTCAGAAGGTAAACAAATTCAATTAGTGCTACTTTTGAAGTGGTGATAAATGTTATTCTTTTGGAAATACTTCGTTTTATTTTTGCTGGGATGTAATGAAACCATCACACATTGCGAGAAAATATGGATGCAAAATTTTACGATCGTATGGCTCCCTTCATTTTTTGAAATGATTCAAAAAATAAGCAAGTCGCATTAGATTAGGGATGTATTTTTATGTAAACACATACAAAAATAGTGAAACAGCTGTTATAAATCATACGACTTTTATTCTCTTTTTTGTCATTCGGATGGAATTTCATTTTACATTTTCATTAGACATTACGTACGTAAAATGTGATCGTGTAAAGGCTTCTTTAATAATAGCAGTAAATTGCCTTAATTCTAAACAAATAAGTTTATAAGAACAAAAATCTCTATCAAATTCGATAAGGATCCGCTCATAATAGACTCTACCCCTATATAAGCAATAATAGGGATTGTTAAGATGGTAGCAAAGTACACTGGGCGTAATTGGTTGAAATAATAAAAAGTTTATTCAAGTTTATTTTGTAAGCTTTTTACCATTTTTTGTTTATGTCTTTTATAATTTTATTCAGAAAATATTTATCATACTAATGAGCATTAAATATGATCATTTTAAATTTACAATAAGTTGTTTAAAGATATATGTATATATTTAATATAACATTAGTACTTTTAGTATACTATGTTATATATATTTATTTTTAAATTTGTATATTATCTCATTTAAATATATATTTTTTATTTTAATTTAATATTAATAAATTTGTTCTTTATTCAGCGCAAAAAAAGAAAAATTAGAAAATTTAATTTAATTTGTTCGAAGCTATTCTAAAATTTATTTAATATGTTCTTATCAATATTATGTCATTAGGCAATTTCTGTTTTATAATGTAAAATTGAAAACAGAATTTGTTATAAAGTTTAGGTACTTTGTTAAAATACAGAGAGAGAGAGAGAGAAAGTTTTAGTTAAAGTAAAAGTCGTATGACACAGACATAGAAAGCGAGACAAATTTATAGAGATTTCAAAAAATACAAGAGCAATATTTATAAAAGCTTATTGTTAGTAAAAGAGTTTATTAAAAAAAGAAATATTTTAATTAATTTGTAAAATATACAGTTTTCATCGTTGTTCTTGTTGTAAATTTAGCTGCACACATAGTTATACACACTGCCAACCACACAGACAAACACTTAAGCCAAAAGAGAATTAAAAGTAAGAATAGCAGTAGGAAGGATCACTTAATGTGACGACACAAATGAGAGCGCATCCATTTTAAAGCTTTATCACCAATAGCTTCAACTTTTGGTTTTCCGGGCAGACTACGACAGCCACATGTTTCGATAGTTTCTAATTGTGGCAAAGTAGATTTACGTCGCAATTGCTCTTGTTCTGATGGCTGTAGCGTTTGTTGTTCTTGTTGTTGTTTTTCTTGTTCTTCAGGATGAGGTGTTTCAGTGATTTGTTGTGGCTGTTTAGATGCTGTGGTTTGTTGGTTTTCTAATTCTGTTTGGCTGGTGTTGCTAACTGTTTTTGTAATCTGATCATTAACAGGTCACATATCACCGGTGCTAGCCCATCTCATGTCATCGGCCTCGTGTGTTAAATAGCGTGTACCCACTTGAGCTTCTAAATTACGCAAATCACGATAGGTTTGCTTGTCCTGCAGCCAATAATGCTGCAGACTCTTGTCCACCGTATAACGTTTTCGTTGTTTCACTTGCAGCAAATTATTGATCAAATCAATAGCTTTAACGAAATAACATTTTGTATAAGTTTTGTGGATTAAAAGAATGTAATGAATTTCTTTCTTACCATTCGATGATATTTCTTTCCAGGGATTTGGTGGATACATAAAGGCGGCATTTTGTATTTGATCATTTATGTCCTCTTCCTCATTGAAAGGGAATGTACCGCTCAGACTTACATAAATGATCACACCCACACTCCACATATCCAAAGAACGATTATAACCTTTATTGCGCAAAACCTCGGGAGCTAAATTTAAATTTTATATAGTCAAATATATATATGATACTCTGCTAACAATTTGATTTTACCTAAATAGGCTGGTGTGCCCACCACCGATCTTCTGAATGATTTCTCTCCTATAATGCGCGCATAACCAAAATCACATAATTTGACTTGAGGAAATTCGGCATCAGATGAGAGCAATACATTCTCGGGTTTTAAATCACAATGCACAATATTCTGACTGTGCAAATGCTTGAGAGCAATAAGTATTTGTGTTATAAGAAATTTCGTTACTCTTTCGCTGAGACGTCCTCTTTCGTGCGAAAGTATCATTTCCAACATATCACCTTTGAGTTTTTCCATAACCACAAATATTCTTTCTGGGGTTTCGAACATACGTTCGAGATTTACCACTCCACAATGGGAAATGTTCTGTTATAAATATAAAAAAGAAAACGTTTAATAGATAACACTAAACGGGGTTAGAAAATGAGTCCATTTACACACCTGTAATATGGCCACTTCATTCTTTAATTGAGCTTCTTGTTTTGTGGGAAATCTTAATTTGTCTATGACCTTAATGGCCACTTCTCGTTTGGTTTTCTTGTGAACACCACCATAGACTACACCAAATTGACCCGAGCCTAATACCTCATCGGGGAATATTTGATATAATTGACCCATATCTTGTATATTATCCTCGGATTCGCAACATTCTGTCAACAAACATACACACACAAATATTATATTAAACCAATATTAAGTAATTGCCAACTTACGTGTATTGGTAACATGCATGTAGGCCTGTTTTATGGATGTTTCCCAACTTTTTGCTATATCTGTGCCGATACCACTATCCGGTGGTGGTAAACGTACAGCCTGCTCCTCTCTAACACCCGCCAAAGGATCTTGACCCGCATAGTAAGTGACATTGGCGGTGCGTATTTCGAAACAATAATTATTATCCACCCTAACATCATTGTTAGTCTCTATAAGTTGTATATCGGCCAAGGGAATTTCCTTGTGATATTTACTACCCTGTTCCGAGATGAACAGTGTTATGGTCTTCGAATCTAAACGCCAGAAATAACGTTTTACTGTACTATCCAAACTGGTGAAATGCACCAGCCAACCTTCCTTAATGGCTTGACCACCACGTTTTTTGGTGTGTTTAACTGATTGCACGATACGCATTAGGGGTATATTGGCACTAGGTGATGATGAAGAACTTGATTGTTCCGATTGTCCATCTACAGATTGTCCCTCAGCCATACATCTCGAATCTCTATTGTACGATGTACGTTCATTTGTGGCCACTAGACCATTTACCAATTCGGGTGGTGAATTATGAGCATTTGTGGTGGTCTTAGCACCCATGACATTACCCATGCGTCCCTGTTTTACCGCCATTATATTATTACCACCACCATAACCTGTTCGGCTAGTGTTGAATTCATTTGAGGCATTATCATCGAAATCACTATCATCGAATTCTTCCTTAAAGAAATTATCACGTTCCTTATGGGCTGCATGTGTGGGTGTGTACGTTGATTCATTGTAGTCCCCATGACTCAACTGCCGTTCACCGGTACAGTCTTGTGGTACTTTATCCATACATTTCTTATGTGTATTATATTGGCAATCACGGCATTGTAGACCCTGTTTGAATAGGCCCTTCAGTAGTTTTTTACAATATTGACAAACGGTCGGTATACCATAGGTGTGCACCATAAACGTATGTGGAATGCGTATATTCTGATAGGCAGATGTTGTGGCACATATACCGGTATTGGCAAGCAGCTGGCCATTTCGACTACCGGCCGAGGAAGAACGTTGATGACTTCTATGGTAAATTGGCACATTCTGAAAGTTTGCGAAAGAGCACAATTATTATGACATTTATAAGAATGCGAATCAAAGGGGAGTTGAAATATGTATATCTATGTGTTTTTTTTCTATGAAATAAATCGCTTTCTTAAATTCTGTAGAGTTCGGTTCATAATGCCCTCTACAAGTTACTATCAGGGAATAAATGACCAAAGTTCTGGTTTCAGGAGCCTGCACCAGGCCCGACAGAGGCCTAGATGCCACCAGAGACAATAGGCCCTATGGAGGCCTAGGTATATTTCGTCGAATTTGATGTAACATACATTCTCCTTTCAAACTAACTAATGGGTCTGCATGTGACGTGTCGAGCATGTGCTCTGAAATGACCATCTGCCCTAAGGTCATTTCAGCGCACATGCTCGACACGATTCCTTGTTTTGATAGGAAATAGAATTAATATATTAGACCTGGTGGATCAGTCGTACATCGATATTAGTTTGCTATCAGAGTTTCGAGGGGAATAATTTGAAAATTCTTTTGGAAATAGAACTCATTTTTTTCTATAACAACATTTTTAACAAGTTGAAATTAAAAACTCTGTGTTGGATAAAATTTCAGATTAGAATTGAATAAAAACAAAACATACATCGAGAAGTTCACTTTCTATTTTCAATGGAGATTAGGAGATTAAGTTAAGGGCCGGCCTTGTAAAGGTTTTTATAAAAAAATTATGTTTGAACTTAAATCTTTTTTTAGTTAAAATTTCCTATTAAAATCTAACTTTCTAAATATATCCTACTATATATGTATTTCCATATTTTGTAAAGATCTGGTTTAAGTATGAGTGATATTCAATCAATACAGAAAAAATCATAAAAAATTAAAAAACGACACATCCAACAATTTGTTTTAAAAATTAAAAGATTTTATTAAAATAAAAATTTAAATTAACAAAAATCGAAGTAAATAAAAATATATCATTAATACAAATACACGTGGTAAACACAAAGAAAAATTTAAATGAAAAAATTATGTAAGTAAAAAACAATAGATAATTAATATACAGTTACAAAATTAAACTCTCAAGAAAATAAACCAGATCTTAAGAACAAAATATCTAAATATTCGAGTTAAAATAAGTTTTGAGTCAAATCAGAAATGCATTATTTACTAAAAAGTGAAAAACCCAGCACCACATTTAAATAAACTAGTTACAAGAGTAAGAGAAAAAATACTCTAAAAATACTATTAAACAAATTCTAAACAAGGGTCACGAAATTTTTCTTTAGTTAAAGGCCTATGAATTTCAATTAATTCTTAATTTATCACTCATAAGATCAGACATCCGTTTTACCAGAGAACTCCCCGAATCATTTTTGGCTTGTTGTTCATCATTCGAAATAAGAGATTGTGTTGAACCGCCCGAAGGACTTCTGGGTGGCTGCAGCAAAGAGGAACGTTTGGAGGAATTACTCAGATCATTGGAACGATTACAATTATTGGGTATTTTAACTACACAACGTTTGTGATAATTCTGACCACAACCTAAAGAAAAAAAAAAAAAAAAAAAAAAAAACAAAAAGAAATTAATTATTTTCGTTTATATTGTTATTAAAAATGTTCTTAGTTTTTACTACTAATGCATTTTTTGATTTCTGTTAACTACTTACCATCACATTTAAGACCTTGACGCACTAAACCAAATAACATTTCACCACAGAAATCACAGAATGTCGGCGCCTTGTATGAGTGCACATTTAGGTTATGTGGTTTTAATGTTGGCATATCCGATGTTGGATATAGAATCGCTGTAACAAAGAAATGAAAAAATGGAAGATTACTCTAAAGAAAATATAAAACGATTTTTACTTTCATGCTCAGAACATAACAATGACAATTAAACAGAATGTGGGACTATACGTATTACGAGGAAGCTTTAATTAGGGCGGAAATGGCGCAATATACTTTCTCCGAATTAAATCGATTTCTATCGGCTTTGAAATTTTAAAATAAACATTCTCAAATTAATTTGGCGTTAGGAAAAGACTATAAACTATACTATAGACTAGACTATAGGCTAGACTACAGACTAGACTATAGACCAGACAATAGATTAGACTATAGACTAGACTATAGACTCGATTATAGACTAAACTAAATACTAGACTATAGACTAGACTATAGACTAGACTATAGACTAGACTATAGACTAGACTATAGACTAGACTATAGACTAGACTATAGACTAGACTATAGACTAGACTATAGACTAGACTAAGACTAGACTATAGACTAGACTATAGACTAGACTATAGACTAGACTATACTGACTAGACTAGATAGACTAGACTATAGACTAGACTATAGACTAGACTATAGACTAGACTATAGACTAGACTATAGACTAGACTATAGACTAGACTATAGACTAGACTATAGACTAGACTATAGACTAGACTATAGACTAGACTATAGACTAGACTATAGACTAGACTATAGACTAGACTATAGACTACTAGACTATAGACTAGACTATAGACTAGACTATAGACTAGACTATAGACTAGGACTATAGACTAGACTATAGACTAGACTATAGACTAGACTATAGACTAGACTATAGACTAGACTATAGACTAGACTATAGACTAGACTATAGACTAGACTATAGACTAGACTATAGACTAGACTATAGACTAGACTATAGACTAGACTATAGACTAGACTATAGACTAGACTATAGACTA